CCATATTGAACTCTGAACATTATTTAAAATGATATTCTCATTTATTGAATGATACAAAAAATAAAAGTATACCATTTTCAGCGGCAAAAGATGATTTGATGAAGTTTTTTTAGTGGACCTATGTTTCATCTGAATATTTTTTGTTTGAGCTGATGATCGATGCATCGATGACGATGCACTCTGAAAAGACGATAATATCAAAGCAAAAAAAGATTTGTTTTTCAAATTTCTGCAGTAAATGAATTACTCCATATAATTGTGCAAACGAGAATTTATTTGATTAAAAAAAATGAAATTTATCATTTTAATGAGATAAATGACATTTTGTAACTTTCTAAAAAAAATGATATCGAAAAATATGAGATAAAAATTACGTATTTTGGATTTGAAAATAATTGTTGACTCCTTTTATTGACAATCTAAAAAAGATAAATTTATAAATTTAACAAATAAATTAAATCATAAGCTAATGATTTAATTTTTTAACAAGAAAGTATCCTTATCTAGAAAAATGGTGTTTTTTTTTAAATTTTTTTTTTTAAATTAATCATTTTTAAGGAGTTCTATTCATAGTAGTATTTAATTTCTTTAAATAGCATTTAAACTGCTCACAGTTATTCTTGACAAATAGGAAATAAATAAGGTAAAATTTAAATTTTGCACAATATATGAGCCAAATTAGCTATTTTTTAACTCTTTTTTCTTTTAAGAGAATTTTATTAAATGATTTGTGAAAATTTAAAAATTTTTTTTAAAAAATTCGAAAAAATAAGAATAGTAAGAAAATAAAGAATTATTCGGAGATTAATCGATTTGTAAAAAGAATTTTGAAAAAAAAAAAGTGTAATAAAGAACGAACAGGTAGAAAATGAATGAGTGATTGCAATGGTAGATTTACCTGATCAATGCAATTAGTAAAATAGACAGAACAAATAACAAAAATTATCTGCTTCATGTATTCCATTATTTTATCCTTAATAACATTCATTTAAGAATAAAATTATTACAGGTAGGATCTTCCATTTATCATAAGAAACGATTATAAGTAATGATGGCAATATCACATGTAACGATTACAATGATTTCTTTTGATGAACATCAAAAATGACGAATAAAAAATGTATTACTTTGGCTATTTGATCTCAAATAATGTCAGTTAGACAATAATTTTTGGCAAATTTTCATTTTTTCAATGGAAGAGATTACTGCAATATTTTAGATCGAAATCAGTGAATAATTTCATGCAAATATTAAAATGAATATGGGAGGAAAAAAAAAATTCATGCAAAATACTCAAAAGAAAAAATTATGCTTCAGTGTAGAAATATTGATTGTTTTTTAATTCAAAAATGAAAAAATAATAGAGTAAAAACTAATTAAAGGAAAACCAAAGAAAAAAATGAGAAATTAAAAATTGCAAAGCATTATCGTCTAACTGACATTATTTAAAGATCGAATAATAAAAGCAACACAACAACAAATTAGAGTTATCCGAAAATTCTATCATTTTTAAATTTAGGTTTCTTTTTATTTAGATTGGGCGAAGGAGGAGAGAAGGAAGAAAGAGAAATGAATGAATTTAGTAAAAAACATTAATCAATAATTTGAAGATATTCTTTTTTTCCATCTGTTGCTTTCATTTTTTGTTTTAAAGGAAAAAAAAAAACATAACATCAATGAATGTAATTTTAATTTCATTCTTTTAACTTTAATTTTCATTCATAGATAAACTCATCTTTCCTATGTTATTATCGTTTTACTTAATTTGTGAATTATTTTTACGGTTTATTTCGATCAATTCTTTTTTGTTTCTCAGCTAATTCTATAATACGTTGTTTTCCTAAGTGATATCAAATAAGCCTATGCTAACAATAATATAAGGTAGAAGGGCAGTATCTAATCAGAAAATTAAATTTGCACATTTTATATTATTAAGCATTATATTAAATGAAAAATTACCTATTTTACAAATATATAATTTAATCTATAAAAAAATTTGCCGTCAAATTTAAGAAGCTTAAAAAACGAGTGCTGTAAAAATTGCAGCTAAAAATTACCATCCAGCAATTTGGTAATTCATCTCCCAATAAGGGTAAAAGGTTAAATTAAAAAGTTGGCACAAAAAGTAGAAGTTCCAACTGTTAGAAAGATCATTTTCTTGATGATATCAGAAACTATCAGTGGATAATATTTGACATTGAATCAATCGTTCATTCTTCCACGTTTTGTATGAGAATTTTATTTCGGAAGTCATTTAAATCATTCATTAACCAAATTGCATTGTTTGCTATTGGAATAAAGAATGAAAAAATTCAGCAATTTCAAATGATTCGAAAAATATTTCTCATTATTTTTAGATCGAAATGATTATATTGCTAATATTTTCCATTCATCAATCGATACATATCGATTGATTGAATAAGCATATCAACAATTGTAAACCTCAACTGTAAGACACATACAGTTTGTACCGCTTTTTGGAAAAGGAAAGACGTGATAATTTTATGTTTTTCAGAAGATACATGACAATTTTGCTTTTCGAGGAAATATAAAAATACGTGATAATTTTGCATTTTTCAGAAAACTCGTGACAATTTTTATTTAAATTCAGAAATTTGAAATATTATTCAGAGTTTCAAGAAGAAAACTAGTTTATGATACGTGTGTATTCAATGGAAATATTGGCAACTCAAGAACTATTGAATCGTTTATTTGATCAATCGCTTTACGTCCAATGATCATTTCATCTTTTAGAATTGGTTAGCACAGAACGGATCAATATTATTATCACTTTTGAAAGTAATTCAAATTATGTACCAAAATTTTTCAACATGGTTTTGCCATTTTCATATTGTAAAAAAAAAAAAAAAAATTCATGATATTTGTTTTAAACAAATATTCCTTAATAGTACAACATGCAACGCATCTTTTTTTCGTTATATTAAAAAAAAATTAACGCAAACATTTATTTATATTTGAAAATTTATAGTGCTAATAATTTACAACAAATTTTTGTTCATTTAGCAAAATATATCTATCAATAAATTCAAAAGTTTAATTTTATATTGAAAAGAATATTAAATGTGTAAACTGTTCATGCTGCTATACATTTATGTTTGCAAAGCTTCTCAAATTTTATTCCCTTCAAAATGAATTTACAAAATGTATTAAATGACTATACAATGAAGCGCTTTAAAGAATAATATTTCAAATTTCGTTAATTGAAATGAATAAATAGTAAGTAATAATTGTTAGGAAGCAAAAGATCGAAAAGAAAGAAAGAAAAAAAATGAATGCTTTAAGGCACTAATTGATAGTTCCTTATTGCAAAGTTATTATATTGCATTTAAAATTTATTTTGCTTAAAATTATTAAACAAAGAACAAAAATAGGGGGAGAGAGAGAGAGAGAGAGAGAGGAAGAGGGAGAGAAAAAAGTTAATTTCATCTTGCTTCGCCAACACGTACCATTCCCCTCGTTATTGTAGTTGTAGTCGTCCTATTTTGCATCTGTTGAGCGGGTGCCTGAAATTTCAGGAATTTTAAAAATATAACCTGGAAATTTTCTGGCACAAAAAAGAGAATTGATAAGGCATTTTATGAATATTTTTTTTTTTATGAAATATTTTTTTATGAATTCAATACCTAAATTGAATTTAAACTTAGAGAGGTGCAAACAAGAAGTGTTTTGTGTTTTGCAGCGTTCATAATTTTAAATGGAAGAAAGTTTAATGAATTTTTAATTTTAAAAATATGAAGGAAATTCTGAAAGAATTTTAAGCCAAAATTTGGATCAAAAATTTTATGTTTTATTAAAGAATTGAAATTTATCATCGGTACTTTTACTGCCTGGCCTTGATGCTGTTGCAAAATGTCAACAACGGAATAATGAATGGTTCATTTTAATTTATTACAAATTGTTAAAATTTGAATAAATTACAAAGAAACCTGTTTTGTTGTTATTTTTTCATCCATTTTTGTTTCATTCTGCTCAACAGCTGCTGAAAATTTAAACAATTGCATATTTCGATTTATAAAATTGTTTTAAAAAGAAAGTAAAAAAACCAGAAATTTTTAATTCCCATATAATTTGCCATAACTTACGTGCATATTCAGGTGGTGGTGGTGGCCATTGGCGTTGATTTGGCTTTACAGGTAGTCGTGTTTGAAGAATATCAACGTCCTGTTGAATTTGTTGTTCAAATTCTGGTGGTGGCCATTGTATGGTTTTCAATCGTGAACCTAAAAGATTTTTATTAATGTTTCCGAAATTTATACATTTCGGATATTTTTTTAGAAAAATTTTTTAAGAACTAAAAGTGCAAATTATTGGTATTTCAAATAAAAAGAGCCAAATCTGAAAGAATCCATCAATGTGAAAGGGAGGATGCACTACTATGAGGAACATTTAAGTAAACAAGTCAGGAAAACTCTGTCAGGTGAAGAAGAAATCATCCAAGCTGCTATATGCTAATAAATAGCAATTGAAGTAAGCAGAGAAGAACTTCACGAAGCTTTTAATGAGTTGTTAGAAGATCAATTAATTGAGGCTAAACTAATTAATAAAAATTCAGCATCATCATTTTATTCGTTTATTTATTCATAATCTTAACATTAAATTATTTTATAGCTTTCATTAAAATAATTTTTGCACATAACTTTAAAAAACATTATAAAAAGTTTTATTAATTATAGTTCATTTAAATTTAAAGATTAAAACTAGTAATTTTAAAGCTTACCAACAGATCTATCTATACGAACTTCATTTTCTGGTGGCGGCCAAACTCTTTGCAAATTATGGGGAACAGTCTTACCCCAAGCTGGCCCGGTTTCCGTTTCTACTTTCTCCTGAAAATCTTCATTAAGTGCAAATTTTTAATTAGTGTTTATTATTTGTGAAAATTTAATACAAAATAATTTCTTACATCGCGTCTCCATGTCGTATCTTCCGCTGTTTTAGTTACTTTTACTTCTTGTCTGCAATAAAAACTATTTTAAATTATCTTTTTTTTTGTATAATTAATGCAAATAAATGATGTTAACTGAGGAAGAATTTAAGTTCGAATATATCCGCGGCATGACATTTGCGCTCAATAACAATGATAACAATAATTGAGGGAGTTTTTTTTTTTGTTTTTACGAACTTTGGCAATGATTTTTAGAGAGAATGTAAGAATTAGCTCTAAAAAAAAATTTCGATTCCCTTTAAGGATGGCTACTTGATCATTTACAACTGAACTGACATATTACAAGCTTATAGAGTGAATGATAGTGTTCGGTCCTAACTATCTTATTATGGCCAGATGTATGAAGCAATAATTGATCAGATGATTTAATTGTCCCAAAAATTAGGTAAGCCTGGACTTTCAGATTAAAAAAAAAAAAAAAAAATTGAACAAAATGAACGAACGGTGGTGGGACATTTTCACTTTGTGGTGGAGGCCAAACATGCCCAATACGACCCGGTTGATAAGCACTTCTGACCGGCTGTGCGCCAATAATTTCACCCTATAAATTATAAAAAATTTTCAAGATTTAATTGAAAAATAAACTTTTTCTGCCTTTACTTTCATTGTCTTCTAGAGAAATGCATTTTTGCAATGTTTAGAAGTAATGGAAAGTTAAAACTAATGAACGTTCTATTTCAAATGAAATCTCGAGACCTGATTGTCGGGATGCCATTCGCCAGCTTTAATCCGTGGTACATCTATTAGTTCCTTTGTTCCTTCCTGTGGAAATTCATTCCATTCTACACGAGTTGTTTGTGCAGGGCGAGGAACAATCACAGTTGGCTAAAATACTTTTCTTGAAATTTCAATTATTTCTAAAGCTCTACTAAAAAAGAATGTAATTTTGTAGTATTAATTATCATTATATAATAGCTAATCATTACCAAGCTTAAGTTTAATTCTTGAGAGATTCAGCAAAAAAGGCACTCTACAAATTCAGTGCCTTAATTCTAAACTTCAATATGAAACTACCCATATATTTTTCACGTTTCAAACTTAAAAATTTTGCTCAAGAAAATAAAACATCCATTCCGACAAAACAAATAAATAATACACATATTTTTCAAAATCTTCAATACAAATTTTTATAAGATTAATTCTTCATTATGTTTAAATTTTAAAATTTTCCAACTGCATTTCAACCTTAACTTCAACACTTCCGTGCAGTTCTGGGATAGTGATTTTCGCTGGTTGAGGAGCTTGGATTTCAACTGGGATTCGATTTTGCGTTACCCATGATTGATCATCCTAAAATTTGCATAAAAATCAATGATAAATTCCTTTTTTTTTCTTCTGACTTCATTTAGTCATAATAAATTTAAACTTTATTTATAATAAATTTAAACCTATAAAATTTATTACATGAAATTTTCGGGTGAACTTTTAAACGAATGGTTTTTTTTTTTCATTACTCTTCTGCGACATAAGAATAATTATTTTTTAATTGCAGTGAGAATAGTGCAACTTATTTACAAATCTTGAATTTCTTCACAATTCTGTGCAACATAATACTCATAAGGCTGTATAACACAATAATATAAGTATTTAATTACCATTTCAAATAACGCGATATGGTGTGATTCTATTAGTATAATTATCTTACATCAAATAATGCAATATAAAGTAATTCTACTTGCATAACTATGCAATAGGGTAATTCTGTCTGCGAACTATCGTATATTAAATAATACTGTATATAGTAATTCTACTTATATACCTACAGTATATCAAGTAATCAGTATAAAGTAATTCTATTTATACAACTATATGAAGCAATACAGTACGGAGTAATTCTAACAATCGTATATCAAATAATCACCATATAGTAATTCTATTTATATAGTTATCGTATATCAAACAATATAGCAAGAAGTAATTCTATTTGTGTAACTACTGTATATCAAATAGTACAGTATAAAGTGATTCTATTTGTGTATGATCGAAATGATCAGATTGATTTAGTTCAATTGAACAACGATAAATATTCCGATGATAATTGTTGTTGTAAATAACTTTAGCATTATAAGCTAATCAGTTAGTAGAGTAGAAGGAGAGTTACCTGTGCATGGATCGGTTTTATTTCTTGTTGTGGCAATACTTCCGCCGGCTTGTTGAGGCTATTTAGATAAGCTTGCTGTACATCGCCACCTCTCATCACTTGGATCTTGTCGCCAATGTTTGGAATCAACTGTGCGCCTGATGTCTGCTGTTGAGCAAGTGTTGCAGATGCTGGTGAAGCCTGAGCCTGTAGCACGCCTCTTGCAGATAATTTATGACCTGCTGGACCACCTGCAGCTATTGCTGAAGGCGCAGTTTGACGTGTTAATGATGTTTGCTCAGGTTTTGTTGGTACTGCTGGGCCTTTTTTTTGTTGTTGTTGCTGAGGCGTCTGTTGCACTTGTTTTATTGGTGCCTGATAGTTTGACGCCTGAATCTGAGACTGTTTTGTCATCATTTGAGGTTGCTGTTGCTGTTGTCGCTGTTGAACATTCAGTGGTTGATTTTGCTGTAAATTTTGTGCTTGAACTTGCGGTTGTTGAGGCTGTTTGGCAGCCATCATCTTGGCCTGCTGCTGGGCACGAAGTTGCTCTGCGCGCTCCCGTTCCGCTTTAATCTGAGCTTCTCGTTGAGCTCGTCGTTGTGCTTCTTGCTCAGCCCTTTTTTTAGCTTCAGCTTCGGCTTGTTTAGCCTTTGCCTCAGCTTGAGCTTGCTTAGCTTTTGCTTCAGCCTCGGCTTGCTTGGCCTTAGCTTCAGCTTGTGCTTCCTGAACACGCATCTGAGCTTCACGTTTAGCACGTTCCTGTGCTTCCTTTATAGCTTGTTGCTGAGCCAATTGTGCTCGTTGAAGCGCTTCTTGCTGTGCTCTCTCCATTGCTTCTTTCTGCTCGGCAATAATTCTCGCTTGATTTAATTCTGCTTCTTTTCTCGCAACTTCCGCTAGATTTGGTGTTTGTTCTTCATATGACTCCGTACGTGTTTCATGAACTATAAGTTTGAAAATGAATTTCACTATTTCGTTTAAATACGATAATTTGGAAGGCAACACAATGGACTAAATGCTTCATAATTATCAATAGATCAAGCAAATATTCCTAAAACACATATCCTCTAAAAATACTTTATCATTTGTAAAATCAAAACAAAGTTTTGAAAGTGACTCAAAAAATAAAATGCAAAATAAAAATACAAACAAAAAATCAAACCTATTTTAGTCGGCTGGCTATCAGTGCTACTTGTTATTTCAGTTGCATTCTGATTGACAGTCGGTGCAATACTCGTAACCATTTTGAAACCGGTACTCTTACGTAAAGTTACTGGTGCTTCATCCTCCTCCTCCTCCTCTTCCTCCTCTTCCCCTTCTTCGATATTACGTGACATTTTCTTAACTGTAATGAGCAATGAGAAATCTTGGTTGAGCCAATTTAGCAAGCAAATATTTTAAATCGAAATTTTTCATTTTCATTAAAATATAGCACTTCAAAATTGATAAATTAATTTAGTGATATTTTCTAGCTAGAAATTATCTCTTATCACTACTAACTGGTCATATCTTTTTTTTTTATTTTATCTAGAAGCAGCTTAATCAACAAGAAAAACTTTTGGAATCGATAGAAAAATATCAGAAAAGAATGACGGCGAAGTGGAAACAAATTGCTTTTGAAGTGATAATTTTGCTGCTAAAGAAAAAAATATTTTTAACTTTAAACCAATGATTATTAGATTGAGATTTATAACATGAAGATTTGAGGAGAGAGATGATAGCAATTTCGTTTTATAAATAACATACTGTGAATCGGCTGATTCATAAAATTTTTCTTTTGCACGTGTTCTAAAATTAATTACTATCACTCAAATACAGTTTTAATACAGTTTTAGGTGTACAGTATTTCGACTTATCACTTTGTATTATCATGCTCTCAAACTCATTCGTTTTTTTTTAAGAATCATAATAGAATTGCG